ATGGAATCGCCACTCTTGTAGTCTAGACACTGCAATAAAGTCAGGGCTCTAAATTGCCTTTTTCTGACTTAATTGCACCGTCTGTTCGAGGGGAATGGTGTTCACTTCCGCAGTAAATAGTAAACAAGAAAGTCCGGCTGCTAGGACAAAAAAACTGAGACGTTTAAAAATGAACCCTTATTGTCTATAAGTGCAAAAAAACCATCAAACGACATCGCCCACACGGAATAATCTGTTCAGAAGAAGCTGAGTTGCATGCATCTTGACAAACCCAACAGAGGTGAGATATTGGTATTGCATGTTGTCCCCATGTGCAGTTTTTTATGTGATCACACTACATGGATTGTGTCACAACATGTGGTGTTAAGGCGTGCAAGTGTGCAGTTATGCGAATGGAGAAAAAATATATAATTAAAAGTTGTCTTTGAACTTCAATAATGTCAAGGCCTTCACCTTTAACCTATTGTAATAAAGTGGAATCAAGGAGCCCCTTTTGTCAGGAAACGTGGTGAACAGAACAGAACCAATCAGCGCAAGTGGGAAAGGACCAAGGAATGTCTAAGAAGCAACACTTTGACCTCTCACATTAAACTACAGCAGGTAACTTTTCCAGTTTTAGCACTCCCATTAAATGCGCTTTATTGTCTCTGTAAAATGTAATATTTTCATGCTTGAAATATTTTTATGACATTTTGGCATGTTCTTGACCATTTAAGCTTGCTTGCTTGTGACTTTTCCCGGGTAACAGGACATAGATTTCTGACAGATTTAAATCTGAGATCGGACTAAATATGCATTGATGCTTGAACCTGAATCGAAAACGGAGGGAGGTCCCTTGCGGGCTGAATTATGTACTGATTTATTGATGAGATTTAAACAAATTTAATTGTATTAAAACTCAACGCGTTTGTTCCTTTGTAAATTCCCAATGTGGTGACTTGTTACATGTGTGTGTGATGTGTTAGTACAGATGATACTTTGCCAATGATCTTCGCTTGTAGAACTGTTGGAGAGAAATGGCGGGTGGGGGCATAGCCAAGGATCAAGGCTGGAAGGCTTGTCTTCTTGTCACACCCACCAACCTTGGCCCTGGCTCAGTGACGTAGTTAATTTGCTGAATTCCATTCTCTTGCGTCGTCACAGACTGAGAAGCACTAACTTGGACTGTCCACCTATCAAACGCGGGAGACATGTCGCCACCAAACCAATACAATCGGCGCATGCATACTTTTGAACAATGATTAGTATAAAATCTTCATTTCGTGTCGTGGGTTGATTCAATTCATGAATGCGACTTTCCAAAACAAATTGATTTTGTTGTAAGACGTTGTGTGGATGTGGTAATTGTTAAGAATACAGTAGCGTTATATCAGCTAAACGGAAAGTAAGAGCGAAATGGAACACTTTCGATGCCGCTCTAGTTGGCAACAAGGAAAATGGCGGAGGCTTCGGAGGCATCAGCATAATGACTGTGGACTGAGTTACCACTGGATGTAAATACTACCCGGATTCAATTTTTACTTTTAAGTCACGATCATGCAGCATGATCTATTCGAAGCATATATGTCAATTTTACTTTACAAAGTTAAACTAACATATTTGCATAAAAAATATCAAAAGAATGTCAAGACTCAGTTTCTGACATAGTTTCTGTTATGCCTATGCTCAATTGTCCCATTTGACAAATAACACTCAGGTTTCCAATAACATGAAGAAGAAGAAAAAAACAGACGTTTTTGGCACCAGATTTTTATAAAATGTTGGAAGTGACAACAGTTTCCAATATGTGTGGTCTGAAAGATTACTGCAAGCCGTACAGTTGCGTACTTTGGACAGAGCCTATTAACACTCATTGAACGCTTATACTTACTTCCGCTCTCCTGTATGTGATGAAAAGCTGTAAATACAATCGCCACTGGTGCCCACGAGTCATTTGTTTGGTCTTTCGTGATATTAAAATTTAATATAATGCTGATGTGCTTTCCGATTACCCCTCTCTGATTTATAAATGTCTTTAAAACGTTACATGCATCAACCATAAATTGCCATATACTTCTGCGGCTGGACGCCAGTTTGGTGAGGGGAAACGGTTAAAAAGCGGGTCTCTTTAAATTGGAAATATGTTTTATGAGTGGTTTTAGATCCCAAACAAGCACGGAATATCCTAATCTGTTTTACTCGTTTCAAGTCCGTTACAGACTTACGTAGAGGCCTAGGTGGTGAAATTGGATGTGTTGTTTCATTTTCCAAAGTTGTTTTGACGACTATTCTGTGCCATTTTAGCTCAATTTACAGCACAGTGCATGTAATGACCCTTAAAAAATGATCAGAAATCAATACCTGCTCAAAAACATGTATTTGTTCAAATATATAAAAATGAAAAAATAAAGTGTTTTGTGTGCGTGTGTGTGTGTGTGAAAAATGTTCCTATTTTTTTCTTTTACACACACTTTTGACATTATTTAATTTGTTTTGCAATTCAATATTCTGTGTCATATAGCCCCTAAAGAAAATGGGATTCACCTTTTCTGTTTAACAGTAACAGCAGCAGCATGTCGACATTTAAAACTAGTCTTACAAACGTCAATAGAAGAAAATGCAATGTTTGAGAATACTCTTAAAAACATCTAAGCCTTCCATGTTTTCTTTTCGGCATTCACGCAATCAAAAAGAAAAGCAGATCATTCAAATAGCATATAGACCAGTTCAGTTTCATCGTATTTTTTGTAATTTTGATTCGTTGTTGACCTTTTCATCCTATGAAATAAGCTGTTCTGAAAAAAGAGACAAAAAACATTTGATCACGCTCTTTACTTACATTGAGACAATGACGTTACATATTTCAGTCCACAGTAAGTAAATACAGTTTAATGGTACATTTGCTCAATAGCTTTTTTAAGAAAGTACTCTCGCTGCAACACTAAAAATACATTACACTTAAATAATATACATCTGTCCATAATAATCCATAATGTACAGGCATTTTACATTTGACTCTCGTTGTTTTTAGACATAATAGTCGTCGAAACATAATATTATATTGAACAATACTTACTACAATTTAAATTAGTTAATGTAGGCATCTTCTCGAATACGTTTTCATTGTCACGACATCTGGAATCAGAAAGTCACTGCGCAGCATGACCTGTAATTCATTGACACATTTTTAAATTTCAGTTTAAACATTGACTTGCAATTCCGATACTTACAATTATACCTGATATGCAATTATACAATACAAATTATATAAGTTGAAGACAATTACAAACAGTCTCAGATTTATAATATATATATATATATATATATATATATATATATATATATATATATATATAATATATATATATAGACACACACACACATTTATAGATGCCTGTGTTAATATTTTCGAACACAGGTTATTAATCCCTTTGAATAATGTGCATTTCATTTAGAAAAGTGCTTTAATATATGGATTTATATATAAGTATAATGTTAAAACATATTAGTGTACATAAAAGACCAGATCCTGCAACGCACTGAATAAACTCTATACATTTATATTCTGTCACGAGAGAATGTATCTGTTTTTCTTAAAAGGCTGAGTGATAGACAAGTGAACAGACCAATCAAAACAACGCCCCGTGTTTTTAGCGGGGTCTGGCCTCGTTGAGAAATGCATTGGCCAGCAAACATAGAAAAGATCATTCAAGTCCAAGGGGTTAATACAGATGTTTAAGATGAAATTTAAGCAACACTAAAAATAACCTAAACAGAGTACCCTACATAAAATACGTAGGCCTAATGTTTACACGTTTTTCCACAGTAGCGTTTTTTTTTTCATTCCCCTCGAGTCGATGCAGCTTGGTAAAACGGCAAAAATAATTAACTTGTCAAACACGAATTGTGTCATTTTACCCTTTCCCTAAATTAAAACATGTGCTAAATTCGGAAAACATTTATGTATCGTGTGTAGCCTATATTACAAGGAATCAGAGGAAATTTAGTTGGATCCAAAAACACAAATATAGCCTACACCCGTTTGACAAAAAACTTAGAGGAAAATGTACCAAATAAACACCAGGTTTATACGGCTATTAGCCTGTATAATTAAGTGCCTGTGAGAGAAAAAATCAACACACTTACTAAAACTCACACCGCTAACGCTAACATAGGCTAAATAAACTGGCTGAGATACACAATTCAGAGCACGTTATTCACTTTTAATTATTTAAAGTTTTCTCTTTGCTTTTTATGCAGCGTTGAAGATCACAAATTCATTTAAACATTTAGTCGTATGTATAAATGTATGAGCATTTCTGTACAATTTAAAAATATATAGTGTGCTATTGTCGCCTTTTGGATTTTCTAAATGAATCATTGGTTCCTCGTGTTTTATATTAGGCCTACATTAACGTCAATTACACAGAAATAGAAAATGGGGAAAACCTAAGCAGTCATCTTTCAAAAAACAAAACAAACAACAACAACAAAAAACTAAAACATAAACAAGTAGTTAATTTAATTAATATGTAATTGTTCCCCCTGATTGAGTTTGTAAAAGAGCGAAAATAACAAAGAATGGATTAAGTAGTGTTTGTCGAGAGACAGGAACATTTACAGAACATGTCAACAACGTCTTTATTCTATAAAATTGGTTGTTCATTTTTAAAACGGAGCCTGTGCAGACATGTAAAAGTGTGTAACCATCCTCTATATTGTCTAATCTTGTGAAATTTGCCATTGATTTCCATGAAGTGTTTAGTTTACTTGCCTCTCTCTATTTTTCTTTTGCAGACGCATAAGCCACGTATAAGCCAACTATATCTGAAGACGATTGTTCTTTGTTCTGTTGTTGGTTTCCTTGTCCGTGAAAATCGGCTAGATGGCGCCATTGCTCCATGTTGTACCACGTATATTCAACAACTTGACCCCAGTGACGTCAAGACGGTCTGGCGCATCAAGGCCACTTTCAAAACCCTATTGGTCTGAAAATCACATGACAAAGCGCCTTGAATCCATAATTATGTTGCTGATATTTTTCGACCCCCCAAAATATGTCAGCGTCCTACTGTCCTTATCCTCTTCGGCATAAAGGAGATTGTTTTGAATCAAAAGAAAAACGAGCCAAGTTGCAAAATGTCATGCCCGAACAACGTGGCAGCCAACAACACATTCCTGATGGACTCGCTGGTGGGAGGAACATCTCCGTTCAGAGGTGAGAGCTATTCAACTAACTCTGGAATGTATATGCAACCGTCTGCAGAATATGGTTGCTCCATGATGGGTAGTTTTGGTATTGTTGGTACCCCTCTCTCCAAACGTGATGACTTGCAGCCGAATGGGATGCATCTCAGCAGTTACCAGCACTCACATTACCTGTCGCAGCGGGACGCTTGGATCGCAGGCTCTAAAACTTACAGAGGCTCACAACCTGTTGCCCAGCCTTTGCACCCATGTTCCTTTCCAGCCAGCAATGTGAAAGAGGAAGCGATTCCTTGTCTTTACCAGCCTGATATCGACAGCGCCAAGGAGTCCGCTGAGAAATCCACCTACATCCGTCTGGGAGACAATAACAGCCACCCGAATCAAAGCGCCGTCTCCACCCCCGATTATTTCCGACAGAGCCAGGTGTACGCCAGTGAAAGGGGCCACCATGGAAGAGATGAGTTCGGCTCGGACTTTAACCCAATTCCCAGAATATCCACGCCTGTTGAAGCACTAGCAGCAGATTCATATGTCAAAAGCAGCAAGGCAAGGCAGGACCCAGAAGACAAGGGAGGGAGTACGCAGGAAGACGACACGGATCAGAGACAGGCTAGAAAAGAGGAGAATGTCGCAAAAATAGACAGTTGTACTGATGATTCCGAAAGCGAATTGAAAGGTGATAACTAATTATTCGCTCTCTCTCTCTCTGCCACACAAACAAACACACACACACACACAATAATAGCGCGCTTGCTTTTAGCCAACATGTGAACTGACAACCAAGTTGCCCGTCAAAATAGCAGACCTTTTTGTTGCACAAACGACTGTTTAGCCCCTTTTCTTACAGGCCCAGATTGGATCTTCGTCTGTTAAACAGTATTATGTGTGCTTAAAAAATGAAACGGCATTTAACACTGTTAAAAAAATAAAAATGGGTCTTGGCATTGATATAAACTGGATCACTTCACGCGGTGTTAAAGTGCGCTCTACAATACATCCATCCAAGCACAGCATAACAAAACAAAACAGTTCACACTTATCAGGTAAATTTCATTGAATTCAATTTTTATTTACACTCCAGTTTGTTGTAGTTCTGCCCGCAATAGTGTAGAAGTGAAAATTTCCCCGCATGTCACAATATATATTGAAATATTTTCTGTTATTACATATAAATACATATATAAAGGTTTAAATAAAGGATCATAAATGACTACATGATTTCTTGATGATATTGGTAAATATTTGCTCAAAAACTGGTTTGCGTTTAACGAAAAAAAACAAAACAATAGCCGTCTACCTAAGTAAATAATATCTAATTAAAATGTTTTAAACGTTTAATTATTTGGACATGTCTAGCGCTTATTTTATAATGTTGTTTTTGTATTTTTTCGTAATAAAATGTCAGTAATGTTTGGTAAGTAGGCATATAGTCTATGAAAATTTCTGAAATCTTCAGTAATAACACACTTATTCATACTTCCATCTGATCTTTTTTTTAATCTAGGCTAATTTGTTTAGTTAATCTAACGAGATAATTAAGCCCCAAAAAAGTTAAATAAGGAAAATAAATATTTGTTATATTGCTTTATATTATTTGCATTGTATTGTATGGTTATCATTGTTTTTGTCTTGGTGGGTGACGTTTCTATTCGTATTCAAATTGCAGGCCCATGACCTAATGAAATCATACAAATGATCTTGTAAAATTGGACGGAAATGTAGTTCGTCCAAGTTAGTATACATATATAGATAATATTTTATTTGCATAAAAAAAATGTCAGATAGCCTATGTTAAATTGAGGGACACGGCATCACTGCATAAGAAAAAGGCCAGCTTAGATGAAACCATTAGATAATAGACCTTTAGCACAATAAATTGAGCATAACTTTTATTCTGAAGAAAAAAATAATATATAAATATGAATATTTTTTGTAAAAACAAACAAAACAACAACGAAATCAAACTAAACTAAATAACATAACATAATCGAGGACCTGCAGCGCCCCATGCAGTTCTGTTATCTCGCAGTCATACCTATCTCTCTCTCTCTCTCTCTCTCTCTCTCTCTCTCTCTCTCTCTCTCTCTCTCTCTCTCTCTCTTGTTTTCTTGTGCAGACGAGGCTAAATTGGAAAAAACAACGGGGAACTGGCTAAAAGCGAAAAGTGGACGCAAGAAGAGATGCCCTTACACAAAGTATCAGACACTTGAGCTGGAGAAGGAGTTCTTGTTCAACATGTACTTGACTCGAGAGCGCCGTCTGGAGATCAGCAAGAGTATCAACCTCACAGACAGACAGGTCAAGATCTGGTTCCAAAACAGAAGGATGAAGCTAAAGAAGCTCAACAGAGAAAGTCGCGTCCGAGAGCTAACAGGCTATAGCTTCAACTGAGGGCGTAAGAAACAGACAGAAGAAGAAATCATAAAAATGCATATTTTCTCGCGCGCCCCACGTTCAAACCCTCTCTATTTTTTAAATCTCTTTTCCCCATCTCTCATTTATCCCTTTTCATTCACAGACTCACATTCACACATGCAAATATAAAATAGCAAAGGCCCATGACTTTCGTTTCAAAGGAACTGGAACATCCTGCAAACAATATTACATTTAAATTACAATTCCACCCGCGTCTAATTTATCATTGTGGAACAGAACTGAATAATTGTAAATATGACAGTGGCGGAAGAAAAGGATGCTTGGTGCAAAATATTCGTGGCAGATTTGTAATTTTGAAAGCCATTAACACAGAATATAAAAGCGAGATTTCTATTTGGATGTCTTAGCTTAATTTGTTTGCTGTCAGTGCGCGTGTAGGCTAATATACATCGCGCACCCTGTATTTTGCATGCTTTGTTCTTGACGTGTATTTGTCAATATGATGTTTAACTCGAGAGGCTGAAAAATAAAACAGGGGGTGGGAAAATATTATGTCCTGGTATGTCCTTCCCCTTGCATATTTTCTCCTGTATTCTGATGACAGAAATGTTGGGTGAAGATAGGGAAGAGAGGCAGAAAGAGAAAGTGCATAGCACTTTCAGTATGAGTGGAAGACCCATAACGTTGATTTAAATATTATCCAGGTGACCACAGTAAGTCAAGGTCATAAAATTGTAATGTCATGACGGTCCTGGAAAGCGCTGGGGGTGGATTTTATGATCTGCAAATATAATGTGCTGCTGCAGTAAAGATGCATTAAAAGGTGAGTGGAGGAGGGCTAATTCACATACTCGGGACTGCAATGTGCTGGCCTCACTGACGCGCTCTGCGGGCTGCCTGGCTGTTTTGGAACCAGGAACCTTTCATTATGGAGTTATGGAACGCTATGATACGATGGACTGACCACGGAAGAATGAAAGAACTACAGCAGCGGTGAATGAATGAGTGGATCATATAAGCGACGCTAATCAGACCGTGTGCAGAACGTTCAAGGTAGGATAACGTTTTCCTTGTTTCCCCCTCCCCTCTATTGAGCTTAGAGAGGCTTTTTTGGATACTCTTACGCGCTGGCATGGATAGCAGCTTTGTTATAAGTGCATTTCTTGACAAGTGGACGTTGCTCTCTGTGCTTCTGACAGTTGTTGTTAAGAGAGTGCTGTTGTGGATAATGTGCCACATGCAACTTCCAAACACAAGTTAAAGTTGTGGAGATCTGCTTATACCAACATTATGTGTTATAAATTAATTTAAACTATTTTCAGTCCCTCTAAAGGGCAATCTTTTTACAACAATTTTTTTTGTTTGTTTTAACAATTTGTTCACAGGTGCGTTTAGCTCTGAAAAGAAGCAACAGGAAACTCATTTGGCAGATTAATTCTTTTTGAACATCTGAACTTATTGCATGCTAGTAATTTGTCAATGGGTTAGAATTTTTTTAGCAATAGCAATAGGCCTTCTGGTTTATAGAAATGTCAATTGGTGTTCGTTTTTTTTTGTTTAAAACTTAAAACTACCCAAAAGTCATGGTCTCGGGCTAATGATATAGAAAAACAACACACGAGGTTTGATTAAATTAGCGCTCGAGGCTCTGAGGAATGGAATAAAATCCTTACTTATCTGTGCAGAGTTTGTTGTATGTCTCCTCCTGTGGATAACGCCGTTACGCGCGGCTGGTGCGTGGTTTAGGTAGTTTCATGTTGTTGGGATTGGCTTCCTGGCTCGACAACAAGAAACTGCCTTGATTACGTCAGTTCGTCTTCATCAAGGGCGACAATTGCCGTTAAATTACACCCAGTGCAATGAAGTTTCCGCAAATGGCATTGTAAATGAACTGAACGATTATAGCCACAGCGGGCTCTTTTTCTCTTTTGCTCGCCTTTGTGTGTCGGGCTGTAAAAGAGAATTTAGACTCTCAGAGGGAGAAAGGACCGTTAACATTATGGTGCAAACTTAGACTGTTCCTTATTATGGCTTATTCTTTTATCCCAATATATGGCCCAAAGTGTTTTAGCTACTTTTTAACAGTAGAAATGTCAGTGGCTGAGATGCTAGCAAAGAAATTACATACAGAAACAGAGAAATTGTGGACTGACGGACACAGAAAAAGTGCAGATTATTTTTCCAGCTATTAATTATTTAAATTGATCAGCTATGATTTTCTTTCCATGCAGTTAATTATAATTGTGTTTATGTGTATGACACTAATCGCCTTTACAAATTTTACCCACTTTGTCTGCTTTGACTTTGTACTCTCGGAAACGTGACCCAACAATTACAAAATCTCTTGATATTTGTTTTGAAATAGTGCCAGATTACTTTCCACCCACATGTGGGTCAACCCAACCCAACCACACAATTTTTAAGCTATAAACAGCCTGGCTCAAATAGCAAAATTGCATTTGTATAACAACGTTTAAACACTTGCTATAACAGACACAGCAGCAACATGAGCAGTACCATTGGCCAGTATAGCAACATGCTAAACGTTAAAAAGCGTTGCCACAGCAGAATTACCGTGACATCCAAGGCAAAATGTTTGACCTGTTACTTCCGTGCTCTATAAACAGTGAACCTGTGTGGTTCATTCACGGATATTAATATTCTTCTTCCATATCAGACCTTTAAAAAAAATCGTTAGTAAAATATGATAGACCTACACACACACTGTAGCTTGTCACAGCTTGTCTGAAATGTATAATCATCATATTAATTCTAAATTTTTGAGTTATTTCTACATTTACATTTATGAATTAGTAAAACATTTTAGTATACGATGCTTTAGAGACAGAAATATGCACGCAAAAAACAAAACAAAACAAAAAAAACATTTTTTGGCGTATAAATGGCACGAGAAATGACATTCGTGGTATAGACCCACTTTCATGAGACATGTTGGAAAGGCAGAGAAAGAGAACAAGCTTTTTAGGCAGTTAATGTGCATTTTGATTAATGTCTGGAAGAAACTGTTTTTGATACTTGCATATTTCTAATAATAGTAATAAAAAATTAAATAAGATGTATCATAATTTTTTTTAATTGGTGGGTTACTCCAAATCATGAATCGGGAAATTTCAGTATTTGTGCTATGACTTTATTTGCACTGTACAGTAAGGACAGAATGCCTCCCATATAAATAACATGTGGCTAAACGAGTTGAGGTAATGTTTTTGGAAAAGTTGTTAGTTGGAAAGGGCCTCATCAGTTAGCCTATACTTGTCCTTTTTCCTGGGAGAGTATAGTCTTTGGATTTCACCAGATATGCTTGTTTTCTTAACCCCCTCCCCTCCCTTCAGCTGTTTTGCGACGGGAGGAGACAGTCTGGAATCCAAAGTCATTTTCATTCAGTTGAGTGAATGGGGTTCTCCTCTGGAATGCGTCACCAACAAAGAGTTTACAGCACGCGTAATAGCCCCACAGGACATTGCCGCCGAGCATGCGGATATAGCGGCAATATCCTCAAACAGTCTAAGGATTGGTAGACATCAAAACACCTCTTGCTCAGTGTGTGTGTGTATATATATATATATATATATATATATAATATGTTGAATTATTGACTTGCATTTAGAAGCATATAGTACTGTATGTGTGACACATTCCGCATTAGGCCTGTCTGTAGCATTAGCAATGGCCTACCCCTGTGATGTAAACATTTGAATAGATGTCCACACACAGATCCTGAGACGAGAATTTAACACAGATTGTGGTTGCTGCTTATTTTCAGTGGGCTTGAATGAGAATATTGATTATCTGTTGATTTACGTTGTTCTTTTGATTGATATTATTTTAGTTTGTAAACCTAAAGGCCAGTATAAGCACACTTTCACAATTCGACAGAATTAATGTAAATTATTTATTTTTTTATGCAGCTATACACTGTATACCCTCATTTTCTACATGGTATGTTACGAGTTTGTCCGGAACAGGTTGGATTGCTCAAAGAGTTTCCAATCCAAAGCAAGTTTTGCTAAATAAAGGTATTTTACTCGTCTCTCTGCAACACAAATAAATGTAATCTTATACCCACAAAAAAAAAAAAAAAATATATATATATATATATATATATATATATTTGCTGCTATTTTCACTTGCACACAAGCACTAACTCAATACAGGCAATATTAATTTAAATAGTTTTTTGACTAAAATTTTAAACATTTGAACTGCTCTCCGGAAACAATTATATGATAGCATACTTAGGCTATAATAATACTAGTGCCTGCTTATAATACTAGTATAGTGTCTACCGGTTCTGTAGATACACTGATAAACTGTGAACGTTTTGCTTTATTTTGTATCCTCCCGTCTCCCGTGAATTAATACAAAGATATCTGACACATAATAGTAAAAAAGGATGACACCCAAACGTGTATTGTGATGTTCACGTTGACCATGGCGCACTTAAGGTCGTTTAAAAGCTAAAAGACTAAAACAAACAAAAACATTTTTTTTTATCCATGACCTTATTTGCTATATAACATATTGAAGTTATGTTGGATGATTTTCAGAAAGTATTTGTATTTTTAGGCGCATTGGCGGTATGCTAGCGTTTGAAATAAATTAAGAAAAAAATATATATTAGTTTTTAACCTGATCCTGACTTTTAGGTGTGCTGTTTTTTTTTTGTTGTTGTTGTTTTTTTCCAGCTATACTAGTACTAAAACAGATTGGAAGCTGGAGATTAATGTTGAGAGATTCCCGTAAATCAAATTGTATTAGCAATGATGCTGCCGTGCTGTTGTAGTCTGAGAAAGGACAGTACTCTGATGTGTTTAATGACAACTTAAAATCAATTAAAATGATTCAGTTATGCCAATACAAGAAAGTGGTATTTTTATATTATGAAGCTACCTTGTTTTTTAGTCACGAGACTAAATGCTTTATTGTGGGATGTGTTGGTGAATAACCAGCTGCTTGTAGATAGCCTAATCAAGAAATTGCTCCTTAAATTGCTATATGTTAGATATGCTATTTTGTGAATTTCAGTATCTTAAAGACGTCTATTATTGGCTAATGTGTATAAGGTCTGTGATGTTCTAAAAGATAAACCTAAGGATGGATAGAAGAGAGTGAGCTCGTATCTCAGTTTTATCCTGAGTCACCCTGCACAGCTTCAGTGCCAAGACTGCAGCGAATACTATTGTGCAGATTTCTACACTGTTAAATCACAAGGTCGTTATCAATAAATGTACTGTATAAATAAATGCGACCACATAGAGAAAATATCTCGTTTATAAATTATACCTCATCGCTCCATTGAGAGAGCGTAGTAAAATTGCTATTCTGTTTATATGAATCTGATATATTGTGAGAAAAAAAAAACATACTTGTTATTCACCGAATCAATGTTAAAATATAAATAGCCTATATATCCCACCGGAAAGAAATTATATATAACTTTACAATTCCAGTTAGAAATTTCAAAGACATAGAACAGCCAAACAATTCAACGTTTTATTTTGATAATGCTTTATGTATTTAAAAACAACATTTATTGCTTACAAACAAATAGCGTTATGCATGCATCATTACAACATTAAAACAACATAAGACATTCTTTTAAAAATAAACGTAAGCTAACAACAGTGTGAACTAAGACTTTAAGATCAGGTACCACGCCATCGGAAAAAAAGATAAAGGTTTTATAAGCTATAGGCTAGATATGATGCCGTGATTTACAAATGTGTTTAAGGAACGTTTTATATTACATACATTTGTTTTTGTACATGCCACAGTGTAATTATTCTCAGAATTTTATTAGATGCATTGATAAGCTGCAGCCTCCCTTCAAGGCTATAAATTATTAAAACACTTACATAGCCTACTATTTTACTTTCACTTTTGTTCAGAGTATGGCTGTCAAAATTATATTTGTTCTGCGGTCTATTGCAATTAGAGGGAATCTGATTCACGCCATAATCAAGCTGCCACGCCTTTCTATAAAACACATAATTATTAAAGGGAACGGTATGGATGCATAAATTCAGCAGGCTATATTTTGCTTTCTTTTGATTTTAGTTGTTTTGTTGAATCAATAGCATAAGTTGTTTTACAAATGAAAATAGTAGCCTACATTGATGGCACTCATTACTTTGGGTCGAGTCTCTGTTAACAAATATGACATATGATTTAATATTTGTGATACAAGAGTAAGAGTCGGCGTATTGTTATGTTATTGGTGTGTGCATATATTTTGACAATGTCTGGTGTTCCCACAGAAAACAGGGCGGTAAAAAAGCCTGACCTCATGTGGCCGGTTTCATACAAGGCCTAACACTGACAATGACTGCAGACAAAAATCAATATATTTCCAAATTTCGCAATTTACTTAGAAGAAAATTTTAATCTGAAATATAATGACTTATATATTTAATACAATGTTGAAACTGTGTTATTTTCTACACGACAAGAGTGTGGCGTTAAAGTTTTGAATGATTTAAAGGAAAAAAAATAGGCTATATGTTTTGTTTATGTTTGCGTCAGTATTCATAATTCGAAATTACAAAACTTAATGATTCGGAAAAAATTATATTCACAATTATTTCACATACCTGTCAGTTTTAGTATAATTTTATTTTCAGTTAACAAGACTATTTGCCTCGTATTACAACATCTAGAATTAAGTGCGATAGAATCGCAAAAAAAAAAAACACTTAAATAAATGAACAAAAAAAAATGTAAAGAAAGTGAAGTAGGCTGTATAGAATTTGCAAAATGTAGAATGTGATATACATTTGCCTTTTCAAAAATATCCCAATGAAATTGCTATTTTAATAAGCGTTTTAAAATCTTTCTCTCTTATGCATTTTTAATGCTGTTTGTGAACAGTCACTCGTCTTTCTTCTTGTAGCCTACAGAGGTTTGAAGAGACTTCTTTCACAAGCGAAGTGTTGGTTTTACGTTATACCAGGAACTCAACTGCAGTTTTATTAACGACACGTTTATGAACAATCAAATGGTCCTCGTAAAAATTTATTGAAGGACATAAAAGCATGCACGACCACTTGACGAATACAGCCGCAGTTGTGGTGCGTTTTCGGGCGTCTTACTATTCCCATCGCCCCGATTTGTTTAAAACTCCATTTTACGAGGGATATCCCAATTGTATTTATTTGAAACTAGTGGAAAATAGGACTTCAGTGCATAAAAACAACCCTCTAGACAGCACAGGAGCCGTTTATTTGTCAAAATGAATCCATTGGGTCCGTTCCAATTATATATAATTAATAGTGAAACTGAGAAAGAAATGTACAGTCTTTTCTTTTTTTCTAATTGTTTTAATAAATAACATTGTTCAGTGAGGGATGCGCACAAGGCTAGCCACAGGACAGTAGCATTCCCTCGACATAGATTGATTACACAAACAAATAGTGCCCTTTAAAAAACCCTTAACACACACTGCTGCTCTGTAAGGCTACAAATAACAAAGTTGCATCACAATATTAGAAACGCATCATCTTTATGGTTTATGTAAAAAGACAATATTAGTATTAAGCAACCTACTGCAAGCTCGAAGTGCATTGCTGTTCCAGGAGAGAGCGCGCATTGATCTGCAGTGCAGTTTTTCAGGGGGTAAATGCAATCACGTGTTCCTTAGGCGTCCAATCCCAGCTGGGGAAGCTTTCTGAAATAATTACCTGTCTTGATTGTTCTACGGTCAGATAAAAAAAGTACACATACACTCCATATAATAATCGGATGCATGTAAAAGAGAAGGGAAACATCGCCATGTCGGCTACGGGTCCCATAAGTAATTATTATGTGGATTCCTTGATCAACCATGAGAGCGAGGATGTTCTGGCGAGTCGTTTCACAGCTACTGGTCCGATATCCTCCAGCTCACGACCGCCGACTCTCGTACCGGAATGCGCGGATTACCCGTCCTGCAGTTTTGCCCCGAAACCACCCGTCTTTACTACCTCGTGGGCCCCTGTTCACTCCCAGTCGTCAGTGGTTTACCATCCATACACTCACCAACCTCACCTAGGCACAGACTCAAGGTACGTTCGCACTTGGCTGGAGCCTATCCCCGGTACCGTGTCTTTTCCAGGATATGCAGGGAATAGCAGGCACTACGGACTGAAGCCCGACACCTTCCAGGATCCCCGTACTGGGGACACTTTGGGCTCGAACGGACGCAATTACACGGATTATCTGTACTGCTCCGCCGTCGACATTAGAGAAAAGCAGCAGAACACACCATCGCCTGAGACGGAGACTCTGTCTTCCGGGAAGCACAAAGACGACAAGGCTGAATTAGACCCAAGTAAGTTAGTGTTATTCCTGTTTACAACCGGGTATATGGGATGCTTCTCAGTTTATTGCGTTTGCTTGGTGGTTGGCTGTTGTCCGTCGTAAAACCAAGTTCTATACTCTTTCATCCTCTCGGCCGACTCAAGTCTGCTTTGGGGCTATCCACTGATGACAAACGCCATAGGATTGGGTTGTAAAACGAGCTATAAAACGGTCTCCTAAAAAGCCAAGTCTAGCAGAAGAAGGTAGCATGTGATGTTTACAAATAGCCGTATACCATTATCATTAATTCTAATATGTTACTGTTATGCTGTGTTTTGTTTAATGTGGAAATGTATCATTTTAGCCTTGCGTTGGCTCAATAATAATTCATGCGTTTAAAAAGCGAGGATGCGTATTAACCATACAAATTAACAATTCGTATATCTATTTTTGGGTTTCAACTGTATATGTTTTTTTATAACCTGTAAATACCAATATTGCTTGTCTTGAGTTGCAGGCTACTTGTCATGGAGCTTATTACAACATTCCTACTGAAGTGTCTAATTAAAAACGTAAAAACGTTTTGAACTATTCAATTAAACGTAATTTACATATTTAAAAATAAAATTAAACCTAGCATTTAAATCGATAAACAGCACGTGGAATGTTCACTGCATTCACTGCATAGCAGAACTTTGAGCATAGGCTTGTGAAGGCTTGAGTCACAAGCCTTTGCTTTTTTTATGGGCCTATAAAGCAAATAGGCCTAGATACATTCACTAGTTTACAGCGCCATTTCTCTCTCCTAAGAGTTTGGCGAAGCTATTTCAAATAGTCCGAGATAGGGGGACTTCATATGAAATGACTTTTATTTACACGTATAAAGCCTGATCATTTAATTGAAGATTAATCTTGCCAATGAGAAGTGTTGTTAGGTGCTACAGTTCATAAATGAATGCATTAAGTTATGGCTGTCAAGAAAGAAAAGACTTGGATCAATAATAATCTCAGCGTATTTGTTTACAGCAGCACCTAATCATACTTTTATGCGTTGTTTTTCAGATAATCCTGTGGCAAACTGGATCCATGCGCGCTCAACTCGAAAGAAGCGTTGTCCATACACCAAGTATCAAACACTCGAACTCGAAAAGGAATTTTTATTTAATATGTACCTCACAAGAGACCGGCGATATGAGGTAGCAAGGGTGCTGAACCTAACGGAGCGACAAGTCAAAATCTGGTTCCAGAACCGACGGATGAAGATGAAGAAAATGAACAAGGAAAAAAACGACAGTAAAGAACAATAGACCAAAAGTCATTAATCGGACACAGACTGAAGGAAAACCATAATTTAGTATCATCACGAGTCTTAACAGTTGCGGCCTATAACAGGAACAGAGAAAACAAATATCCTATATGGATATCCTTTGAAAAATTGGTGATGTATGATTTAATATAAGCGTAATTTTACCATGCTGGGATTGAGTCATATTAATATTGTAGTTTGGATTTACATAACGTTTCTTTACTCACAAACACATAAAAAGTGGTCCGAAGTTTCAGAGAGAAAATACTTGAACTTTATTTTCAATTTCCTAATTTATGCTATCTACGTGGTTGTTTCTTTTCTATGCTTACATTATTTTTAGGAGGTTTCACAGCCGAGTATTTTATAAAGAATAACAGTTCTGTAGTTAATAATATACGTGTTTGCGTCGATGTGCTTAGTTTGTTTATGATGTACCTGTTTGTGTGTTTTACATTCTTTAAACTGTAAATGAGTTTCAATATAGATTGTATATATATCCAAATATATAGCCTACAACCATGTTAATATGACTTTTGTGTCTCATTTCATTAATTTGACCGCACAATGACGACATATATTTTCAGCGAATAGCTTTCATGAATTAGTTAAGTTTATGCAATCCAGTTATTTGGCCAACACACACAGTGTTCCCATGTGAAAAGTTTCGAGGATGGAGTAAGTGCACAAGTGTGTAACAGTCGAAATCTCAAATTTACAAATCAAAAAAAAAAATAAAAAAAAACATACTAAAAAGCCTGTGTTAAGGCCTCAGCCGTGCCTTATAGGCTACTCATATTTTTGTATTTAATTGCAACCTTTTCCTTATTTTTAAATTGAATATTATTTTGACGTTTAAATAAAAACAAACAGTTTCATTATTATTATTGTAGTTTAATTTGTGCGACAATATATGACAATTTTCGGAGGAAAAATTCAAGAAAAAGATTTCAATCTGTAGTAGGCCTACAGATAACGTGTCAGAGCCACAAAACACACACACATTTTTATGGAAATGTCAACAACAATATCAATTAAAAATATAAATTTCAACAATAATGGCTTTTTTGTTTAAATTAATCAGGTCGAGGGACTCGGTAAAAAGGGGTTTTAAGTCAATGTAGACTCCGCGTTTTTGGGGTATGACCTTAAGTTTAAATCTTTTAAAACGACCTGTCCTGTAATCTGAGCGTTCTTTATTTATGACTAAATTGTTTCAGTGCACCTTTGTATTTTCACCCCTCTTAACTTGGCCTACTGTCAGTAACCGCACAGGCGTAATCTTAAAATCATCTGATGTTATTATTTTCTTATTTATATAGGCTAGGCTACGAGTAGCAGTTCTGGTATAATTAAAATTCATATGTTTAGCGTGCTACGCTGGACTGAAATTGCCTTTTTGTGGGCCTTAACAATACGAACAGGATGCGGTGATTTCAAAGCCGGATCGACCACGTTTCCGGCTTAAAACAAAAATGCTAGTTTTACAACCCTGTTGGGGCTTGGTGGTGTTTGTCTCAGATGCAGACGAACAAAGCCTACCTGGCTAACTGGCTAGACGTCTGGGCTAAATTACTTTATGGTTTAATGGACGTTGGTGGACCCTCTCAAAGAGATTTGCAGAGCCATATAGTCTTTGGGGCAAACTACAGGCAAATGCAATCCACCTACAGACACCACAAAATGCATTCAGAACTCACTCCAAGCCTTTAAATGGCGCTAAACTGAAAAGCTTAGTTTTCACTTAACACATGCTTGTAAAGCTAATTTACAGTGTTCATACTGGTGCTGTACGGCTTTAAATCATGTATTCGGTACTACTTGTGTTTTCACAGTCAAATGTTTCCAAGAGGCTACAGGTGCATTCAAATGGGCTTTCTGTCATTGTCCTAATTAATTTGGATAACTGTGTGTTTTGCCCAGTGATCATTTGTCAATGATCATTTGTAAAAGTTACCCCTAAGCACGCTAGATGGCGCTATTGACTCACAGTTAACGCATTTTGGGTTGCTAAATCCTGGGAGTGCTTCAAGTAAAGTGCTGAGAGAAGGGCCTTCTGTTGTTAATCACAATTATAGCTAAAAAAAAAAAAAGTCAGCACGCTAAAGTATTAAAGTTTACATTCACACCATATATTTAACATATTCGTGAAACAATTGTTTGTTTTATAATTTTTGTATTTAGTATTTTATGTTGCCTTGAATCTTCGTGCTACGGTCTTTTCCCCACTCTCCCTGTCTTTTGTTTTGTCAAATCCGTAATTCACTGATGCTTTGAAAAGCGCATGCATTGTCGGTTTTTATGTTGCCGTAGCTGACATAATTTATTGAAGGCACTGGGAAATCGTCACAGCATTTCAGTCTCATGTGAGATTAGGTTTACAAATCTCGCCGATATGATTTCCATTTATTTCTTCATTTGTGGACACTTTTTTATGTTCTAGAAGGCATGTTTGTCTGTGGAACTTGTTCGACATTCTCGCATATGACGCTTTAAAGATGACATTGATTAATCAGTAATCGGGGCCTTTAATAATAGCCTACCGTATCCCGATTATAATTATTATGATTTTATAATCCCTTTCAAACAGTAAAGCCTACTTTTGAAAATTCGTGTTAAATGTATTGTTGTTGTTGTTATAAATATAGCCTAATAATTATTATTATTACAATAAAAACAATCGATTACGTCAATGTTATATAATAATGGGCTATGTTTTATATGTTCGATTTTTTTTTAATCTGAAAAGATATACAATTATTTACTTAATTAGGCTACTAGTCTATATTTTAACTATTGATTTTTTTCCGTTACAAATATATATATAGCCTACTCCACTATTTGTTACTGTAACTGAGACAATGGCCCAGAATCTGCATCTTTATAGACTGTGAGATGTCTATAAATTTTCTTTCCCGTTTAGCAGCGAAGTGTAAAAATTGTCAAGTAACGACTCGAAACCACATGCTCATATTTTGGGAAGGACTTTAAATGAGCACAGCCGAAATAAACAACAAGCCATTAATGTGTCCAGTAAAATAACGAGGCATCTATTGCGCAATTTTATTGTGTCAGTGCGGCAGATTTACAACTTTTAGTATGGTTTAGGAGGGCCAAGAGAAGCGTGTGTGTGTGTGTGTTAGCAGTCTAACACAAATAATCAATGTAGGAGTCACAATTACTCGTCACAAACTTTAAATATAGCAGCAGCGATACTAATAATAATACTAATAATAATAACAATAATAACATTTCATCATAATAGTGTTACAATATTTTCCATTGTGATCATAAATTAGCGTTTTAGCCGGTAGACAGTGTCAATCGTTGTAGCCGTTTCTTCGTAATGTTCGTAAACTTGTTATGGCTGTGGGTTATGGGGTTATGGCTCGATACGCAACCTTGTAAACCTATCATAATGGATGTGTGTGTATATGGCCTTTTGAAAGGAAATGATACAGTTATATCCCAAACGAAATACCAGACAAATTGTTTCAACGTCCGCATGACTAACCTGTACGGCCAGTTCGAAGCTGCAGTAACCTGCGGATATGTTCTATAGAAGCCATTAAAAACTTCAGTGATTCATTCATTTAATACGTGCAGCCGTTTTTATTCAATAAAAAAACACATACAACTATGTTTCCCCTTCAAGGTAGACGCCTGTGGACGCTTTGGAAAGATGAGGAGCCAAAGGGTGGGGTGTAGGGGACAAGGAGGGGGGAGGGGGTGAGGGGTCTCATTGTAGTGGGGGTGGCTGGTGGGAGGCAAAAAAAAGTACGAGCTTGTGACTGAGCCGTCGGAGCTAGCCAGCTTTAACCTTAACACACATCCACCGTGCGCGCCATGATTTGAGGTTGCTAAAGGAAAAGGCTGGCGATATAGAGAGAGAGAGACTAAGCGAGAGGATCTGAAGTGGGAGCTGCCTCAGATTGTCCGAAGGGGCAGCATTTCTCCATCTAGTTCCGGTTGCTCTGTCTGCGTTGCATGCCATTTGAAACTGCAATAGGTTGCCACCATTTAGAGAGGAGACTTTATTTTATCTCTTTTTAATGCTAGATAAACATGAGCTCTTATTTTGTTAACCCTCTTTTTTCCAAGTACAAAGCCGGCGAATCATTAGAGCCCACTTACTACGACTGCAGGTTTCCACAGAGCGTTGCCCGAAGCCACACGCTCGTGTACGGACATGGAGCAGCTGCGCCGGGGTTTCAACACCCGTCGCATCACGTACAGGACTTTTTCCATCACGGAACCACAGGTATCTCCAACCCTGGTTATCAACAGAACCCCTGTGCATTGGCATGTCACGGAGACGCTACGAAATTTTATGGATATGAAGCCCTTCCAAGGCAACCGCTTTATGGTACCCAGCAAGAGGCCAGTTTAGCGCAATACCCAGACTGTAAATCGTCCAATAGCACTAACCCTGGAGAAGGACAAGGCCACTTAAGTCAGAACACCTCTCCGAGCCTCATGTTCCCATGGATGCGGCCTCACGGTTAGAACACTTACTATTTCACATTCTGTTCAATCACTGCGTGTGTGTGTGTGTGTGTGTCTGTGTGACTGCGTCAGTGTGTCAAGAGTGTGCAGTGTTCATAAACACAGATCAAAACACAGGTGGGTTATGTTTTTCAGGTTGCGAAATTGTACTTAATTATAGGCACTGTAGCGTTTCGTATTTGCTCTCCTTACTGTACCATTATGTTTATTTATGAAACGAACATATAGTGTTGGCTAAATTGTGTAGACAGAGCTGGATGGATTCAGATTATTCTCGCTGTAGTTAGATATGCACACCTGTCTAACCACCTTTGTGATGACTTAAGGAACGAGTAAAGATTCGTGTTTGTAATGTGTAGTGGTAAACACTAGGTTAGCAAAAGCTAGTGTCAAATAATTATTTTGATTTAAATTAACGCTGTTCGATTGTTTCCATTGGTTTGCGTTTCCTTAATTAAAATCTGAAGGTCAATAGTTAGGCTAGTCAAAAATAGTTTCAGTATAATTGTCTGTCAAATTATATTTTAAAAGAAAACCTTTACTAAATACAAATGACGAGTGTATTTGAAGTGCATTGAAATCTATTTGCCTACTTTAATTTAAAACTAACTGGTAATGAACCTGAATGAGGAAAGGTTTTCAGTCTATTTATTTTGTCCGAGTGATAGATAATATGAAAACCTGTGTGTGTGTGTGTGTGTGTGTGTGTGCGAGAGAGAGAGAGAGAGAGAGAGAGAGTGTGTGTGTGTGTGTGTGTGTGTGTGTGTGTGTGTGTCTGTCTGTGTGCCTGTGTGTGCCTGTGTGTGTCTGTCTGTCTGCCTGCCTGCCTGCGTGTGTGTGTGTGTGTTTGTCTGTTTGTCTGTCTGTCTGCCTGCCTGCCTGTTTGTGTGTGTGTGTGTGTGTGTGTGTGTATGTGCTCCCGCGGATCAGATTATGAAATTCTGTGCGTTACTGACCTGAATTAAAGCCGTTGTGTAACTCAAACATAGAAACACTGAATTTATGGAAGAAATGTACATCTACTAGAAACGCCATTATATAGAAGCGTGTAAGTTTAATTCCTTCTAAAAACAACAATGACTGCCCACACTTGACATAGCCTACCTGAATATCTTCTGACAAATCTTAATGATGACAGTAGACCGTAAGGCACGCTATGACACAACACACACACACAATGTGATGTGTGCCAGAATTTGTCCTGTGCTATGAGTTGAGATATGTGTGTA